ATAGACCAGGATTCCGGGGTAATGTTCACACTGGGAAATGGTTCTATGTAATGATATAGACCAGAGTCCACGGTAATGTCAACACAGGTAAATGGTTCTATGTAATGGTTCTATGTAATGATATAGACCAGGAGTCCGTGGTAATGTAAACACAGGTACAATGTAAATGGTTCTATATAATGATATAGACCAGGAGTCCAGAGTCCGGGGTAATGTCCACACAGGAAAATGGTTCTATGTAATGATATAGACCAGGATTCCGGGGTAATGTTCACACTGGTAAATGGTTCTATGTAATGATATAGACCAGAGTCCGGGGTAATGTCCACACAGGTAAATGGTTCTATGTAATGATATAGACTAGGGGTCCGGGGTTATGTCTACACAGGTAAATGGTTCTATGTAATGATATAGACCAGGAGTCCGGGGTAATGTCCACACAGGTAAATGGTTCTATGTAATGATATAGACTAGGCGTCCGGGGTAATGTCTACACAGGTAAATGGTTCTATGTAATTATATAGACCAGGCGTCCGGGGTAATGTCAACACAGGTAAATGGTTCTATGTTATGATATAGACCAGGCGTCCGGGGTAATGACAACACAGGTACAATGTAAATGGTTCTATGTAATGATATAGACTAGGGGTCCGGGGTAATGTCTACACAGGTAAATGGTTCTATGTAATTATATAGACCAGGCGTCCGGGGTCATGACAACACAGGTACAATGTAGTCCGGGGTAATGTCAACACTGGTAAATTGTTCTATGTAATGATATAGACCAGAGTACGGGGTAATGTCAACACAGGTAAATCGTTCTATGTAATGATATAGACCAGAGGAGTCCGGGGTAATGTCCACACAGGTAAATGGTTCTATGTAATGATATAGACAAGGATTCCGGGGTTATGTCAACACAGGTAAATGGTTCTATGTAATGATATAGACCAGGAGTCCGGGGTAATGTCAACACAGGTTAATGGTTCTATGTAATGATATAGAACAGGGGTCCGGGGTAATGTCAACACGGGTAAATGGTTCTATGTAATGATATAGACCAGGAGTCCGGGGTAATGTCAACACAGGTAAATGGTTCTATGTAAGGATATAGACCAGGAGTCCGGGGTAATGTCTACACAGGTAAATGGTTCTATGTAATGATATAGATCAGGAGTCTGGGGTAATGTCAACACAGGTAAATGGTTCTATGTAATGATATAGATCAGGAGTCCGGGGTAATGTCAACACAGGTAAATGGTTCTATGTAATGATATATACCAGGAGTCCGGGGTAATGTAAACACAGGTAAATGGTTCTATGTAATGATATAGATCAGGAGTCCGGGGTAATGTCAACATAGGTAGATGGTTCTATGTAATGATATAGACCAGGAGTCCGGGGTAATGTAAACACAGGTAAATGGTTCTATGTAATGATATAGATCAGGAGTCCGGGGGAATGTCAACATAGGTAGATGGTTCTATGTAATGATATAGCCCAGGAGTCCGGGGTAATGTCCACACAGGTAAATGGTTCTATGTAATGATATAGCCCAGAGTCCGGGGTAATGTCAACACTGGTAAAATGTTCTATGTAATGATATAGACCAGAGTCCGGGGTAGTGTCAACACTGGTAAATTGTTCTATGTAATGATATAGACCAGAGTCCGGGGTAATGTCAACACTGATAAATTGTTCTATGTAATGATATAGACCAGAGTCCGGGGTAATGTCAACACTGGTAAATTGTTCTATGTAATGATATAGACCAGAGTCCGGGGTAATGTCAACACAGGTAAATGGTTCTATGTAATGATATAGACCATGAGTCCGGGGTAATGTCAACACAGGTAAATTGTTCTATGTAATGATATAGACCATGAGTCCGGGGTAATGTCAACACAGGTAAATTGTTCTGTGTAATGATATAGACCAGGAGTCCGGGGTAATGTAAACACAGGTACAATGTAAATGGTTCTATGTAATGATATAGACCAGAGACCGGGGTAATGGCAACACCAGAAAATGGTTCTATGTAATGATATAGACCAGGCGTCCGGGGTAATGTCAACACAGGTAAATGGGTCTATGTAATGATATAGACCAGAGAACGGGGTAATGTCAACACAGGTAAATGGTTCTATGTAATGATATAGAACAGGGGTCCTGGGTAATGTCTACACAGGTAAATGGTTCTATGTAATGATATAGACCAGGGGTCCGGGGTAATGTCTACACAGGTAAATGGCTCTATGTAATGATATAGACCAGAGTCCGGAGTGATGTCCACACAGGTAAATGGTTCTATCTAATGATATAGACCAGAGCCCGGGGTAATGTCAGCACAGGTAAATGGTTCTATGTAATGATATAGACCAGAGTCCGGGGTGATGTCCACACAGGTAAATGGTTCTATCTAATGATATAGACCAGAGTCCGGGGTAATGTCAACACAGGTAAATGGTTCTATGTAATGATATAGACCAGAGTCCGGGGTAATGTCCACACAGGTAAATGGTTCTATGTAATGATATAGACCAGGGGTCCGGGGCAATGTCTACACAGGTAAATGGTTCTATGTAATGATATAGACCAGAGTCCGTGGTAATGTCAACACCAGTAAATGGTTCTATGTAATGATATAGACCAGGAGTCCGGGGTAATGTCAACCTAGATAAATGGTTCTATGTAATGATATAGACTAGGAGTCCGGGTTAATGGTTCTATGTAGTGATATAGAACAGGAGTCCTAGGTAATGTCCACCGAAGTTATAAAGCTTAGTAAGTTAACGTGTAGGAAATAGGTATCACTGGTAGGGTGCATTGCATCTTTAAAGGTACTGTATCGAGGTTCCTGGTATCGCTTATCATTTATATTTACACGAATAGGTTTAAATAGACTACCCGGGATAAATTCACCGTTATATTTACACATATTACTTGAACAGGAACACAAATAATGCTGTATGTACAATATCGAAGTCGTTAGAGAAATGACAACACAAATCGCTGGCTACGTCTGACTACAACGGCAGTCGTGTGACGTAAGACGCTCGAGTCAGTTTTCGCAAAATCCTTTCTACATGTAATAGTGTAACCTACCTAAACCGAAAAATTGACAAAATGGACATTTCCCTTTTTTTTCTACAGACCCCATGTAATATGAAAAACTGTATAAACCAGACCTTCGTTTAGATACCATAACTAAAAAAGATAAAAATGGCAAAGTATTGCAATTTTGCATAAATATTAAGGACGGATGTATCATAATGTTGCTTCTAAACATAACACCACAAACCTTCGTTATCCTGTCAGCATAATGAAGTTTTGTGGTGTAATGATCAAACTTAACAATTTATCTCAAACGAATTTATCACAGGTACTAGCCTCGTCTGTCAATACACCCACAACATAAAGATTATATTATGTGTGCATTGAGAGACGAGGCTAGTACCAGTGAATCTATCGCTAGCTCCTGTTATTCATCATCGTTTTATAGTGGTAACGAATCGGTACCACACCCCGTCCCGACTTAGGGAGGATATACATACACTCAACGAACCTACATTAAACCGAACAGAAGATCATTACTTCTCAAGGGTCTTTTCCACAACAACAAATATCAATCAACGGGACGGTCCAATGAAGCATGCCGTTATTGGTGGCAGTTAAATGTATTGTTAGGGTCTTACAAGTCCTTACAGTGGTAACATGAAACCTGTTATTCAGCAAACCACTTAAACATATCGTTTACCTGGCCAAGGTGTTGAACAACATATCGTGACCATTGAACTCTTAGGAGTAAACACTGAAAAGAGGCTTACATTGATTTTACTTGCATGATTCTGGCTATATACCTGTGCGCCTGTATCACTTGAGGTTCTAATTTATTTCTTAATAGTTCTTTCATATATAAATGCGTGTTTTATAAAACGGATATGAATAGTTTCATATTTTTTTTGATAAGCTGAAATAAAATATAAAATATAAAATACATAGGTATCTGTTAGGACGCTGGAGTTTTTCATTGGATATCTCAGGTACTGACAATAGTGCTGTATTACATAGCACGTTACTCACCAGTCTTAAGCTAACTATTGATACAATCAATCAAAATTGTGCCCCCGCCATTGTTTCCTTTCTGACATGATACACGTTCCTTTAATCTGGTAAAATACTTGGTCATAAAAAAGAATCAAAACCAACTAGACATTCTAACAGATACGGTAGAATGATTACATACTCAAGCGTCAAAAAAACTTTAAAATTGAAAAAATATCTTTGTGAATCTTTTTAATATTTCTCTGATTGATTATATTTTAATAAAAAAAAATCACTAAGTAGCATAATTGTCACTAAATTCTGACAATTGTAATGAAATCAAGTATATACCGCGATCTTAACCTGAGAGCAAGCCCTAATCTTAACATAGCATTTCAAACATTTTGTTTTTCTGACCATATTCTAGATCATGCGTCGCCGATTTAATTATTTTATGTTTTATAGGTTCTTCAGTTTAATCACACATGCTTTTCTTAAATCTGGACCAAAATATCTGTGTCCAATGCGAATCAAGTAACTGTAAATATTTTTTATCTCACCGACACTATTGTGTCCCTAACCTACTAATTCTTTTTAATTACTTCATCGTTTCACGGGATCAATCAAACATGATATTTCTAAATAAACACGATCGTTGGAGTGTTTTTACACAGTGGTCAATTTCCCCGTTGGTCAGTTGTATCGTAGCGACGTTGACATGTGAAAGTGACAGGTACAAAGGCCTTTGATCCGAAAACACAACACCACACGTACCCATGTACTCGCGAATAAGTGCGACTTTTCAAAAGTCACAATACATTGGTAGATATTTGTATTGTCATTAACAGGGTTTCTGTTCCCTTTAACTGTCGTCATACATCTCACACCGTAGTTCATGTTTAAATAACATTTACTTTGTATTGTATGTACATATTTCGAAAACGTTCCATAGAGAGCTAGTGTTAAAATTTCCCGTTCGACAGTTTGGATCGGATGTTGGTTACGGAACTGTAGCTTGTGATTCCTATATCAAGACGATGTAAGGTATCTAAAGTACATTCATTTCGACGCTTACGAAAAGAAACACATCTATTTAATATTTTCATAAAGTACACAGAGGAGGTTCTCGTCCGGACGGATTGGGATTTAGCGATGTTATTTTTAAGGCTGGTTTCCGGTGTTCTTTGTCTGCTGCTAGCCCTTCCTATGTCCAATGCAACGCCGACCGGATGTACAGAAACCGGATCGTATGGAACGTGCGATTTCTCTAGCTGGTCCCCACCTCTTGTTTCGGGGGATTTCAGTACCTCGCCATGCTATATCACACTAAACAACGTGGATGGTACACTTCCGGCGAACGCCTTTTCTGGGCTATCCGATTGCGCTGATCCTTCCGGTCAAAGAAGTATTGCCATTACATGCACCGGAAGTAATGTTCTAGTGATTGCAGCGAACGCATTTGCTGGTACGATGACATGGATAACCGAATTGAGCATCACAGACTGCGTCATTTCCGCTGGAATATCATCTTCGGATTTATCGGGGCTGAGTGGAGTTGTCGACTTTCTAACTTCTGGTGGAACGATAGCCTCTTTTGCAGCCACCACTTTTAGCGGCTTGCCAATGAATTCCATTGCCATGAGTGGTACAACTTTGACGGCCGCAACTTTTCCGAGTGGATTTCTCGAGAACGCAGGCTCCGCCATGACCAAAATCACACTAGACAATTTGGGATTAACGTCTATTCCAAGTGGTGCATTTGACGGGAAGTCAGCTGTCACGGCTTTGAATGTCGCCAATAATGCTCTGACAACACTCGAAACCAACGCTTTCGACTCCATGACATCTCTCAGTACCTTGTCGATTACCGGCAACCAATGGGCGTGTACGTGCGACATTTCATACCTCGTGAAGTGGGTCAAATATACTGGTAAGCAATAAAATGAAGTAATTGTTACTTTAAGCAGGAAACTAAATAAATAAACAAACAATACAAATAAAAAATAAAAAAAAACGGAAAAAAATAAAGAAAAAAAGGTTTCCTTTATAGAAATGATACTTTTTTCAAAAATGAAAAAAACTTTCCCGAAATAAAGAGTCAGTGTTAGGTGAAAAAAAATCAATCCCCCCACAAAATATCAATAAACAAGCTTGAAGGCGGTTTATTAGTAGAGTGGCATTCCATTGGTTCACTGATTAAAACAAAAACAAAAACATGACACGTCTTTAAAAAAAAGTCTTTAATTTCAAAGGACGTTATGTGCTTTAATTCCGGTGATCAGAGTGTTATGTTCCACATGAACTACTCGACATAATGAAATATTTTATGATATCATGTTTTACTATATTGAGGAAAAAGGAGAGGGAAGGAAGGACTACTTTAATTTTGTGTAAAAGTTTGCTTTATGACCTCATCTCCCTGTATACATATAACCAAAATATTTGTTTACAAAACAGGCATGTTCCTACTACCGCTTTGATTGAAATGGAGCTAAGTGCATGTAATTACTAAAGTAAGGAAACTAATGAATGGTCTAAACAACGTCAGTTAAACGGCAAATATAATCCACAGTTATCTGGTGTAGTATTTTACAAGATGCATCTACGCGTGAAGTTTTTTTTACTTTTAGATGTCTAGTATCAAAGTAGCGGAATTAATTTTACTCGAAATATAAGGTAGTGAAGAGGATAGCATAGGTCACAGTGACCTTCTTTTCATACTCGGAAGCTAAGTTAGTGAAGAGGATAGCATAGGTCACAGTGACCTACTTTTCATGATCGGAATATAAGTTAGTAAAGTCGAAAGCATAGGTCACAGTGACCTACTTTTCATTTTGGAATATAAGTTAGTGAAGTCGAAAGCATAGGTCACAGTGACCTACTTTTCATCTATAAATGTATAACTCCTCTTGATGCATTTGCATAACAAATATGGCTGTCGAACTTCTAGTATTCTTATGTACATGTATTAAAGTTATGAATCCAGAGCTAAACGCAAAATCTGCTTGACAAAACATCACTGTGTGACCTATTCATGTTGTTGTGTGTGCATATAAAAATCTCATTTACTAAAAAAGAAAATGATGAAGTTTAAACTTAGATTTTTCCATTGCTAAATAAGTATTTTTTTTTAATATGCGACGTTATATGAGCTTGTTCACGTGACTAATGATGTGTTACAGGTGTGACGTTGGACGGTGACATCACGTGCATGACCCCAACAGCGTACAACGGAACTCTCTTGAACAAAGTCTCGTTTGCTCTCGGATGTGAGGTAAGTATATTTTTGTCACATCGAAGTCATTAGATAAAATGGCCAGTTATATCGAAATTCATCGTCTATTTATAACACAGGTACATTGTAATGCTGCTGTCCATATTATCTCATGATGTCAAATTCACATTGACTAGGGTCACCACAAGGATACAAACATATAGTGTATACAGCCATATCAAGTATTGCCATATCTATAATTTTCCACTGACTAAAGTTGACACTAAATATACCACTACTGAAGTCAATGACATTCATCAGGGGGTTTGTTTTTGTTTGTCTGCTGGATAACCCAACTACTCGGTAGTGAAGCGGACACAAAACCTGTCAATCAATCAATCAATCAATCAGGGTTTCATTTGTAGCCAGTAGCCTGTACAAACCCTCCTACTACAAATATTGCACTTGCTTCTTTCATGATAAGATAGAAGAATTGCAATAAAGTATTATGAAATATGCTGAAATAAAAGCCTACATGGTGTTGGATGCACACAATTTGAAATTTTATTGAAATCACTTCATATCGACTGTAAATGGTAAGTAGAACTATTAAACTGTGTAGATATTGCATTTACTGTCGGAAAGAATTTGAAAGCAAGCCAGACATTACCGCAAAGTTGTAACAACGTATAGCTAGTTACCAAAATGCAACTAACCCATCACTACTTAACCAGAACCTGTTTACATTGGAGTCGGGCATATTGTCGGTTAAGCTATATTATCAGTATTATATACATTATGTTTTGTCATAATGCGAAAACAGATATCTGTTACAATTTAACGCATTAATTACTTGTTAAATGTATTATTTTTTCTAGACAACAACCACCACTGCCTCTACGGACGATTCCAGTAAGTACGAACACCCTCTATTACAGTAGAACTCCTCCAGCAGGTCAATGCTATCGAACTATCCTTATCGTGAATATATACTATTGAGTTCAGATTATATCGTTTTAGAAAGCGAGTATGGAATGGTATTGAGGATCAAGTTTGATAATACCAGTGTGACACTTATTTAGATGATCTTGTTAGGAAATTTCGTAGGTTTGCAAAACAAAGTTCATACATAATGTTTGTAAATGAAACAGTATAAATTCACGTAAACGGCATTTTCGGAACATTATTTATACTGTATTAGTCTACATATTATTCTAAAAAATAAGATCGAACGGTTATAGCCTACAATTTTAGAGTTGTGGGTAAACAAAGCTAGAGGCCTACTGGTGACAGGGATGTAAATGGAACACTTCCGATAACATCCATTCAGACCAGCCTTGGCCATTATATTGTACATTCTAACTGATCCGTTACTTAAACATAGCTGGAATACACCTATACACAATTTATTGATACATATATTTAGTTAATGGGGCTACAGTCACATGGACTACAATACACGATAAGGATTTAATGCCGTCTGAAAATATATCATTTACTGCCATTAATGTGTTAAGTATATGCTTTTGAGCTACCCATGTTCGCTTTTTGTTAGCCGGCTGTTAGGACCTAGACTACTTTAGGGGTTCTAGAGCTTATTACTTGTTATACAACTGTCTGAAGCATGATAGTAAATAGTAATTAATGTTGCCACTTTATCTACGTAAGAACACATGAATGGAGTGTATTTTCCCCTCTGGTGTTAGTCAAACGAATTATGTTGTTCTGATTGCTGCAACTACGTGATGTATTTCCACATGAAATCGAGAATATTTTTTCCACAGAAGTTGGTTAAACGTAAGTTTGATAAAACAAAAAGACGGTTGGTTGATCACCGCATTCCGTAAGTTAGACTGGTTCTGAGCAAAGAATCGTGCTGTTGAGAAAACAATATCGTGATTGTAGAAAACAATTACTTTTGATACTTTCTTAACTAAAATCCCTACCACTACTCCTGCAGTACGTAAACATATTCACCCCAATATACCCACATGTCAATATATGTGCATATATTTAAATTTACACTCCTGCTAACTTTTCTCTTTACAGCATGGGACAAAGCGTTGAAGTACGGAACCGCTGTCATAGCAACCCTAGCTTTGGGCGTGGCTATCGCGACCATGGTCAGCCATTGTTGTATGATGCAGAAAATGGCACAAGGAGGAAATTCCCCGAATACGTCGAACCAGAAAACGAAGAATAGCAAACGTATCGTCACGCCCCTTCCTGTCAACGAACCTACACGTAATAACTTCTTCTAAGAAACGGATATATTGTACACGTCATGGCTCTTTATTTATGCCAGTGAAACCTGGATATATATATAGTTTTAATTAAACATATGCTGATTTTTTTATATCTATGTTGGGGACGCTATGGTATGGTTGGTGAAACTTTGCATTCTAGAAGGTACAAGAACAATTGCACATCGAGAAAGCCAGAAATCCAAAATAGATGAGGAACACAACACCGTGAACGAAAAATAGGGAAAAAATGAAAAATAGAAAAACACTAAAACAACGCATGAAAAGTCGGTTCTACAGCAAGGATTAGTGTCTCCTGAACTACATGTAACAAGCCAGATGGTGATCCGATCTCGCTTGATAATTCATGTAATGGATCGGAGAGCTTAGATAATTTGACCTCGACGATATGTATCAGCAATCGTGATGTCAACCGTCAAATACCCGAAAACCTGAAGTCACCACCGACCTGAGATACAGCGGGTTACCACCGACCTGAGATACAGCGAACACACCTTAAGTCAATGTAACCACTGTACACGCATACCTAATAACTTAATTACTTCAGTGTAGATTGGAGGCTGTCGAACAGGAAACCATGACTACGTAGTGTGTGAGCTTTCAGGACACTTCTATCCAGTAAACCACGATACAAAGGGCATTGTCTAGTGTACCGTATAGACCGCAACCTATGGATTTCTAAACGGCGGAGGTGTCTGGTATGTTATGATTGAGGAGAGAAAACTGGCTATACCTGGTTCATCATCATCAGATCATTTTGTCTCCAACGTAGAAACGACTGGTCCGTCACATCTAAAACGCCTGCAGGATGTGACAGTACATCGTCAAAACCTAACGTAGAAACGACTGGTCCGTCACATCTGAAACGCCTGCAGGATGTGACATTACATAATCAAAACCTAACGAATAAGTGTGTATATTTCTGCTGACTTTTTCAAAGTTCATCTATTTTTTTCAAACTAACGCATATAAGTATTAATGTTTTGTTTGCAAATGCATTTCTATATATGTATTAAGATTGTTTAAAACATGTGTATTTTAATTAACAAAAAAGTGAAAGATTCCAAATATCAATAATGCGAATATGGAAATGCTTGATAACTTTTTTACTAATCTGATAATATGTTGATATACATTGTACATCAAGTGGTGTCTTATATTTAAAAACTCTTGTTATTTTAAAGCCTACGTATGTGTACTATACATCAGAGAAAACCATTGTGTCTGACTAGTATATACAAATAATTCATATCTGATGTATTGTTTTCATCGTTGATATCAATTTAATTAATTTCCTTGTTAAACTCAAAATAAAAAAACGGCTTACTTCGTTTTCTATATATAGAGGATATTCAATTGTTTCTCGTTAAGTACTACATATGTATTTCACGAGTATGACTGTATATCGGGCTCTTGAAAGAAACACAACTCAAATATAGCTGCATCAACAAAGGACCAATTCTTAAAACGTCACGCTCGACAACAAGGCAAAGTGAATTGGTTACTCGACGTAATTCTGCCCTTTGCTGCTATTCTCTATGTATAGAACATTTCGTATATATTCAAGTTAGTTAAGTGATATTTCACTGTTGAAGACGTAATAAACGCTGATATTAAACATCGGCTTCAACCAAATATTCCATCGCTGCCACCAAAATGATGCATCACCTATCATATTTAGGCACATAAACGTTGACAAAAGACGTCTATTACTGGGAGAAGTAAAGTAAACAGTTTTGTCGTCCAAGTCCAAAATAATAAATGACAATAAGATCAATGAAACTAATTTTATTGATTCAATAAATGAAACAACAGTATAAAGAAAGGAATATTGGTTCGACTTCTGACCTGTCATACCATGGGGACAGGGCCGGTACCTTCGGGGAGCTATACGGGGACTTTAAGAAGCAGGAGATTTTTCTGAGTACAAGAAAACTTGTGAAAATATTTGGAATGGATAAAAATACACTACAAAAAGCAAACAACTAAATGATAAGTGATTGTTACGAAGCTGAAGGATACTGGGGGTGGTCGGATGGCGTAGTTGTATGGCGCACTCAGTTTTCACCAAGTCAGCCGGGAAGCAATGTCCGCTCGTACGTGAAGAGCTAACGGGCCACCCAATGCAAGTTTTTATAGGGTAGTCCGATTTACGTCTCGTACTTGGAATACATGTGCACATTCGGGCAAACAGGAGTGAGTTACATAAGTTAAAAAAACTTCAGAATTGTTGTAAATGTGCCTTTATGCATATTTTTGAAAGTAAAGCAAAGGACACGAAGGTTAAGCTATCTTAAAAAAAACCAACATAAATAGTAAACTGCATTTTTAACCATACTTCATTACAAAGTTAATATTTTATTTCATACCTAATAAATAAAACCTTAATTCATTGAACTAAGCTTTCCAAATTATTCACATTTCAAAATTGTACTAAATGATACAATGGAAAAATAGACCAAGACTGTTGGACTAAAACGATAAAAGGGAAAAGAAGGGAATGGTCTATTTTTGAACGAAGTGATTAGTCATATCAGAAAGGAAAACGTTATCTATTGGAAAACTAAAATTTCGTTCAAGCGAAATTTTTAGCTAGTAGGAAAATCTAACATAGATATTGTTAAACAGATGACACTGAATAAACGAATGTAGTAAGCTTATCTTTTCCTGATATCTACTTTTTTGAAGACTGAACGATATTCTTTTTCTTATAATTTATCCAAGTCGTTTTATATATCTCGCTGTACCTTTACTGTAAGGCGGTTTGATTGACTAGCCACCACCGTAAGGACGTTTTCGTAATATTCGTCAGTAATATAGATAAAGACAGACCAAAATGATGCATATCAAATTTCATACACTCCAACATTGATTTGGATTCGCCTGTACCTTATATGGTTATCGAAGTTCAATACGACAGGTCACTGTGGTCTTATATATATAATTAGGATATTTATTATATTACATAAACAGTTAAAAATACAATAGTCTCGTAAATAATTCGTATCTACATCTCCCTCATCTTCTGTCGTTCACACTTAAACCACAAGACGATATCTGTATAATATTCTTTATGTTGATGACCACGTCGACCTCACTGTCCTGGACGACGTAGGCTGTGTTGTACGCGATAGCGTTTAGCTGATCTGTATCTATGCCGATCTCTATGCCCACACAGATTATGACTACGCCTTCGGACTTTACAGTGGGTGCGATTAAACCGAAATCGTCTGTGGATTTTTCATCAGTCATTAGAATTGTCACCTTCTTTGCGCCCGCTCGTGCACCGTTTTCCACCAGGAATGAATGCGAGGAGACAAACTGTAAACCTGCTGCTATTTTCGTTCCCCGACTTACGTATGCTACAGATAGTATCGACGGCAGCACTGATGGTCCTCCCGCTCTGATATTCATTCAAACAAAATTCATTCTTTGCATTGGTTGAAGGGTATCACCTCCAAATTGAAGTGCATTTCTCCCAATAGCGGCAGACGCGGTAAAAAAATTAATGAAATATTTCATGATGATAAAGTGTTTTGATCCTAAACTTCCCAAACCGTCTTAAAGATACACAACGTCAGTTTGAGACGTGCATTCAGCAAAAAAATGTATTAGATAATAATTGTGCTCAATTCGAGTTCACAGAACCTTGTGAAGTGTGATCAACATACAACAAGAGGATATCGAAGTGTCAACAAAATCATAACTCTGCAAAATTAGGGCAAAATATGAACAAAGAATAAATCTACACGAACCCTTCAAAAAGTACAATGATATTAGGACCAAGTTATGCGGAAGGGTAAGCGTCTTCTGCTTCATCATAGACATCGGCCATGTAAATCGAATCCTAATGATGCCACGTCATCACCTCACACCCCAACTTCAGAAGAGTGCCCTACTTAATATCTAGTATGTATTTTTATGTTACACAAAATAAGAACAAGGCGATGTCAGTACCAACGTCAAACATAAGTCAACGTTTTTTTTATAATACGGAGACTGGTTTGGTTTGGTTTAGTATTGTTTAAGGTCCTATCAACAGCTATGATCATATAAGGACGGCCTCCCCTGTGTGCAAGATGCATGCCTGTAGTGTATGCGCGTGTGGTTTGGGAGGCTGCGATATGTTCGTGTTTGTCTCCTTGTGATAGCGAAGAACTGATGCCGACTTTATAGTGCTACCTCACTGAAACATACTGCCAAAGACACCCAGCAGGACACCCCACCCGGTCACATCAAACCAGACAACGGGCGACCCAGTCGTCCTACTCCTAAATTGCTGAGCGTTAAGCAGGAATAGAAACTACCATTTTTACAGAATTTTGTTTGTTTCGGCCAGGGAACAGAACCAAAAGCCTTCCTCATAGGGGCGAACTCTCAACTTAAGGTCAAAAGTGAGGCATTGTCAGGGGAGACATTAAGGGGGGTGGGGTATAGATAAAAGAGAAAATATAAGATCCCAATTTCATTCGCCTCTTACGATCATGCAATGGGGGCAGCAGGTACTATTATTACGCCCTACCTGCAGGAACTATAATACGGAGACAACACAGAACGCCATAAGTATCACTGCACATTGATCGTCATCATTAGTTATTGTATCTGCTTGCTGGGTGGGAAATTAGTAAAATTGAGACATGTATGTATACTTATATATGTGCGAACTGTGATAGCGCAATACACAGTGAATACAACGATGTATGTGACATAATTAAGTAAACGCGCATTAATATTCCTTATTCTATATTTACCATCGCAGGCAGCAGAGTATCTGATAAAGAACGGAAGACAGGAAGTTATTTAATTTGTATATGCTTTGATTTGAACACAACAACTTAAATTATTATAAAGATAAAGAATACCGAATCAATCCTCAAATCGAATGTGAAAGTCTCTATTTCAAAATTATTAGGATAGTCTTACTTTTCGTAGGTATAGTGTTTTGTTCATCAGAAACCTATTTGTACAAAGTTTGGTATTTTTGAACCAATGACTTTTAGCTATTTCTTTCAAAGTATCAAAAAGAAAAGAAAAAACTATTTGACCAGACGACGCTTATAGCTTACGTTTACCCTATCTTATTTAATATCATATTTTGTCTTTTATACATAGACAAGAATGCTAATGGTAGCCGCTTTACGTTTATAAAATTGGCCTTTTTGACACTGAGAAACGAATGGCAAATACATTATATTTCGAACCATATATAAATAGAACAAATCAAAGCCTAAAGCTATTTTGATATGACAAGTTTTACGAAATAGACATTTTAAAATAAAATAAAAATTACCCATGAGAAAAAATCAATTTTAACTACATCATCTATTCTATGTTGTATTTGCAATTCATCACATCTGTAAATACGACACCGGTGATCTCGTATGTGTCTATGTCGCATAAACCGCTGTCAGAGAGTTCTTCAGCGACCAAGGGGAGAGTGTCCACGATTGGAGTCACGATATCGTGCTCGTTCAAGAATCGACAATGGA